ATAAGAAAATGCAGTACTAAAAAGTTGATAAAAAATTCTGAAAAAATTCTCAGAACTTTATGAAAAGAAAATAAATAATTTTTGTCTGTTGCAGTTTTTTTGTAAAGTTAATAGTAAATGAGTATAAAATTATTCAAGACCAATATTTTGCAATTTTTAGTAATTAATATCTTGTTAACTATTGCGAAAATTGCAAAATGGTAGAGGACTTTTCGACTCAGTTTAATCCGCTCTATCTACACAAAAGTGATTGGCAAAAAAGGTCGGGACACCCTGTATACATATGTACGTATTTCATATTTTGCTTTTAGATGGTGAGTGGCGTTGCCACGTATCTGTTAGTCTTAATACAATTTTTAATCATTACGCATTCTTGCGACAGTACATAAGATGCAATCAATTATATATAAGCAATTTAATTTATATTAATATAAAGAAATGCGTTTGGAAATATTGAAAACTTTTTTGTTTTTATGTGTCGAATATTTTGTTTTACCGCTCTGTGGATATATAATCATCCGACATTTTTATTTTTAAAGAAACATACTTATACGATACATTAGTACCTATATATATATATATATATGCACAGAGACAGATAAAAGTCTTGTATCATGTATATTAACGAAAAATGACATAAATATGGTTGTAAAACTATTTGTTTAAATGCGTTATATGTATATTAATAAATAAATTGTACCTTTAAATTAAATGTGTCATACAATTTAGCATTTTATTTGTTCTTTCGTTAAGCATAAAATGTTTTAAATAGCAAATAATAATGAAATAATAAAATTGTTTAATTTCTATATTTCTTATATTTAAATATATATATAATATATATATAAAGAAATATAAATATAATTATTTTCTCAAATGTCTATGGTGATACATAACATACATTCTGTAACTGAATTGCAATGCAAGTAGCAGTATGTGTAAGCAATATGTGTATTTTACGGATATTATTTAATTATTAATCTTTCAGACACTTTTATTATTATTGCTTCGTTTATGCGCTAATTTGTACAGTTTTACTTCCGGAAACTTCTACAATATATGTATATTTTTAAATAATACAAATTTGCTTTAGTTAACATTTATTTAGTGTATTTTGTAGGTACTACGTATTTTAATATTACGTCGATGATAAATTAATAAAAAGTAAGCAATAAAATAAGTATATTTATCAAATTTTCTGGAAAATACAATAATTTTTGCAAGTTAATGCTAAGTATATACATATAATAATAATAGATGTATCATATTTGCAACATGATTTGTATTATTCAATAATAATTCGCTTATAATAATTATTTATAAATAATTATTATAAGCGGATTATAAATAATGATTTATTTAACGTAAAAGAAAAATTAATCTGTTGATGAAGAAAAAGGAATTATTAATTCAGTTATCAGTTTTATCAAATTATTTATCATTTATAAAAACCAACATTATTAATTGTCTTCATTACAAATTTATTTTTATTTTACGTCAATTATATACACATACACGCATAGGTATATACACAATTACAATATATTTTTCAAATAGGAAGCACACACCGATATTTTTAAATTAAAAATTACAATGGAATAAATATTTAAAATCAATATTATTAAATTGATGTTGTGCTATAGAAAGCCTAACAATTTTTCAGTCTAAAAAAGAATAATAATTTTTAAAAGTTCTCAAAGTTATTATTCCATATAAATTCTAAGTATAGTCGATGCTTTTCATTTACATAATTTACGATCTTAATTCGATTGATGATTCGTACAACAACAATTACTTTATTAGTTTTTTCCGTACATCAACAATTACTTTATTAGTTTTATGCGCATGCGGCTTGAGAAAAATAGACGTTGATCGAAGAAAGCCATTCATTTCATGGCTAACAAATAATATCTGACTTCTGAGTCGTGTCTCACTATTTGATGCAGAAACTACGTTTTGTGATACAGTTTTAAATTTCGTTCACCAGGTGCATACAGATTACGTGCAGTGCATTTCAATTTACATACTTATGATGGAAAGATTAAAAATATAGTATTTGCATTAGTGTATTATTAACAGATAAAATTGTTTTCAAAATTCTGTTAATTATGTTCAATTTGTCATATAAATTTCAAAAACAAATTAAAGAACGAAAAAGATGGCTATTTCACGCCACGGACTTTCAATCGTTGATGTATTTCAATTTCATTTTCTGCAAGATTCTAGGAATATTTCCATACAAGATCACGGTTTCGACTTTTGAGGTTTCCAAACCACAATACATTCTGTGGAGTATTATTACCAGTGCCACTTTCATTTATGAGCTAATAATGTTCTATAAACTCAATTTTTCTGGAAGAGTCAGACTTGAAGTACCTAAGACTATTTCGTATAATTTCCATTTTATACTTGGAGCATTCGGAACAATTATCTGGTATGTTTTGAGCGGTCCGCGAATGCGTTTGCTCCAGACTATACAAGAAATTTCATCAAGATTGTCCCCGGAGTCATATCAGAAGCTCTCCAAGCTAATTCATGTAAAAGATATCTTCGGTTTTTTCTTTATATCGTGTCAATTGTTAACGTTATTTTTAAATTCTTCTGAGATGGCTATTGATACCACGTTCGAGCCATTGAGAATATACATCGCCATAATAGTGTTTCAAATGGATATGTTATATATGAATTGCGTTTGTGTCTTAAAAGCCTGTTTCAAAGAAATCAATGACACTCTGGAGAATCTACGGGTACTTATGATGAATGATATCTCTAAACCAATCTATCATGTGCAAAGACATCCATTCATGCTAACAGAACTCAAAGCTCTCAAGAAACAACATCTGATGGTCAGCGGCACAGTAAAAATGTTGAATATAATCTTCAGCCTGCAGCTTCTCGTTACCATAGTGATAGTTTTCAAACAGATCACTTTTTTCCTGTATTTTCATATAGTGCAATGGCAAGACGGATTATCCATTAATCTGGATAAGCAAATTCGCAATGAATTTTTTGTATCATACATAATGTATTATCTTATAAGAATAACGTTAATAGTGTGGGCCTGCGAAACCGGCAAGAATCAAGCAGTAAAAATCGGCACTACCGTTCACGATATGTTTAATACCATCAGTGATGAGCAAATAAAATATGAGGTAATAAAGAAAACGTCATATAATTTGTAATTTTCTAAAAATATTTAATGCACTATAGATACTATATTTTTATCTTAAATCCAACAAATTTATAAATTAGTTTTTAAATCTTATTTATTCTTTGATGTATGCAGTTGCAGCTGTTTTCTTTGCAAATATTGCAATGTGATAATACTTTCTCCGCGAAAGGTCTTACTGTGGACGCTACACTTCTCACTAAGATAAGTAAATGATAATTAGCTCTATTTAGTTAAGTATATATTGTTTAATTTGTCATTTCAATTTTAGATGGCGAATAATATCACCACGTATCTATTAATTTTAATACAATTCTTGGGTACCTCACATTCTTGTGACGGAAAAACTGCTATCAATGTTACTGAAAGAATTTAATTAAACGAAAGTACAATCGAACCATGCATTAGTAAATATTGAAAATTATTGGTTTTCGGTATTTTATTTTTATCGGGTAAAAATACAATCATCTGACTTTCCTACTTCTGTAGAGACATACGTACACCAGATACAAGTAAGAACATATCACGTATATGTTAACAATTAATGGCACAAATAGAACGTTAATATTTTATTTATTTAAGTGGATCATACAATGCTGATGAGGTCACTGAACGTTATTTACGTTATAACGTTCGCTATGTTTAAAAAAAAATAGCTTTCTTGAAGTTAATGTGACTGGCCACATCAAGCTGTGTATGCTATGTTTGCTATATCGCGAAATGTTTGGTTCTCGATTATTTTTTGAAAACGCATATACGGGCATATGCAATGTCCTGGACCATGAATAAATATTTTACTATCGTGTTTAATTGTCGTGTGACAAATTATCAGTAAATGTCATGTATAGAAAATCTTATTAAAAACCAAAGTTAGAAAATATAAATGTATTTAGCAGAGATCAATTGAAGAATCGAAATCAGCAAATAAAGGACAGTGCGTAGAAGAAAATTAACAAGGTTTTAAATAAATCAGATAAATATATTTTTTTAATTTATTTATTACAAAAACTGTGTATATATACATAAACTACGCAAAAAATCCCTTTTGTAACAAGTTTATACGTAGTGATTTACAAGAATGATTTTATGCATGTATTTTTTTTCTTTAAACTAAAATCTAACTTTTTATTTTTATCTAAAATCTGACTTAACATTTATCAATAAAAACGTTTATCCAAAATATAACTTTCAGTGTAGCCATTCAGTATAATGAGCATAGTATACGTGGCGTACCTAACACATAACGCTCTGTATAGCCTCAGCATATGACGTAATAAATAGGTTTAAAAATATAACATTTATTATTAACTTTAATTAATTTTACATGTTATTTATCATAAATACTACAAATAATTTTGAAAGTAAATTTAACATTTAAAATTGACTTAAACAATTCGTTAAATGCAAATAGTATATTTGTTATTTGAATTTCCTTTATCGATAAAAATTTAATTAAATTTTTATTAAGAGATGATAAATAAATTATTGCAATAATAACATTTGACTTTTAGTCTTAGTAAATATTATACTTGTTCGTATGTGCATAAGAAACAGAAAGCATCAACTAACATAATTTCTTACTCATAAACTATATAAACTTATTAATTTTAAATCAGTTAAAAGAATACATCAAGCAATTTAGATATTAGTTAGATTAATTTTAATCGAGAAAATAGCATTGATCTTATAATACCTATACATAAACTAATTCAATTCATTTACATTACTTCTGTTATTATTACTATTTTTGTTTGTGTTAATAATATCTACAATTTTACAATATATATATATATATACATATATATACTTTAATTTATAATAAATACAATTTAGACATAAATTTATCTTCTATAAAATATCTTATTTATTACATTTTAGTAAACTAATCAAGAGAAAATGATTTATTTAAATTATAATGACTTGCATAAATTTAATTTAAGAAAAATAAAATTATCGATCTTCATTCGAATAAAAAATGTGTATTGTTATTTTCATGTTAAATATTATTGTTTAAACATCGTTACAATCAATTTTATACTAAATATTATTACATAAGATAATAAATTTTGTTAACAATAAATATACTGAATTTAAAGTAATTATATGAAAATAGTGTATATCCTTGCTTATACATAAGTAAGCAATTGTTTTAACAATATGAATACTACAAATTAAATTGATACAGCTAATGCTTTCTTTTTTACACGTGGCTTAACTAGCCTTATATATGATCTACATTTGCTGGATAAAGTATCGTAGTCATGACGAATACTTCATTATTTTATGCGCTGCATCCCTAGGGTGAAGTACAAAATAATAAATGACACATTTTTATTTCATGACTAAATAATTTCTGAATTGCATCTTATTATTTCATATAGCAGCTACTCGCAGTCTCAAATTTAAATTCATCAGGTGTAGACCGATAATGAAGGAACGTGTGTTAGTTTATGCATTCATCGTGAAAAAAAAAATTTTTTAAACTACACTTTAAAAAGAATAAGCTTTTGCAATTATTTTATTAATGTCAAAGTGTATTGATAGTGTAATAAATAATTATTAGACTATTGTCTATAACTTTAAATGTAGTTCGCATGTGACATTTCGCTAACCATGTTCAATCTGTCGCCGAAATTTCAAAGACAAGTGGAAAGCAGAATGTGGAAAAGTTGGCAGCTATTCCATGCTACAGACTTTCAATCTTTGTTGTATCCTTGCTTTATTTTCTCTTCTATTTTTGGAGTGTTCCCGTACAAGATCAACGCTTCGATCTTCGAGCCATCAAGATCACGTTACTTTCTATTAATTATTATTGTCTGCGTCACCTGCGTTTATGATCTGACAAGGCTTTATGAAGTCAACGTATTAAATAACACGAAAAAAACAACCGAAAAAATTCAAGACAACTTTTTTTTTATGCTCTCAAGTTTCATAATAATAGTCTCATCTATTTTGAGTGATTCACGAATGCGCTTACTACAAACCATATTAAAAGTCTCTTCAAAATTGCCTCCAAAATCGTTTGAGAAACTATCTAAGTTAATACACGCTAAAGATATTTTCATTTTTTTTTACTTAATAGGACAATCGGTGACGTCACTTTTACATTTTCATCAATCAAATGAGTTGTTTTTTGCAACAGCAGTAATGGAACATTACATTAGTTTACAAATATTACAATTGAATATGCTGTATGTGAATTGCGTTTTTATATTAAAGGCTTGTTTCAAAAGAATCGATGACAATCTAATGATTCTACGAGAATTCGTGATTAAAGATAAATCGCATATTCCTAGACTGATTTATTACCACCAAAGAAACCCACTTCTGTTGGAAGGAATTAAGGTTCTACGAAAGGAACATCTGATGATTAGCAATACAATGCAGATGTTGAATAAAATTTTCAGTCTGCAGCTCCTCGCGACTTTTGCCATAGCCTTCATCGAGATTACTTTCGAAATATATTTTAATACAGTGCAGTGGAAAAACGGGCTGTCTATCAGTCTGACTAAGCAGGTTCATAACTCGTTCGTAATATCCTACTTGACGTATCATATTCTAAAAGTACTATTAATAATATGGAGTTGTGAAACCGGCAAAAATCAAGCCATAAAAATTAGCACCACTGTCCATGATGTTCTTAATAGTACCAGCGACAAAAACATAAAATATGAGGTACTAATAAAAAAATTTAATTTCTAGATATATTCTTTAATAATTCAAATACCATAATTTTTGTATATACATAATATATGACCGATTTATAATTATATTTTGTATCTATTTGCAAATTGCTAATGAATGTTTTTCTATCTGATGTTGCAGTTGCACCTGTTTTCTTTACAAATACTGCATAGCAACAATACATTTTCTATGAAATGTCTTACTGTGGATGCAACTTTTCTCACTGCGGTAAATTACATTTACATTAATATTGAAGATTTAATATAGAAATGATTTAAATATCTTAAAATTAAACTACAACATTTATTTTTTATTCTTTTAGATGGTGGGTACTGTCACCACGTATCTTTTAATTTTAATTCAATTCTTAATCTCATCGCATTCTTGCAATGGAAAGATTACAAAAAACGATTAATTTAGAAAGGTATTAAAATTTTATTTAAAAATATATAATAAAAAAACATTTTTGGAAACAAAAATATCATCCTAGCTTTTTACTATTTCAAAAGTAACATAATAACCTGATATTTTATATTTGTACAAATACATTTAAATATGTGTAAATGCATATATGTATTATCTATGTATTATCTATGTATAATTTAATAGTACATGATATCATATGATAAACAATATTATATATATAAAATATTCTATTTTAATTTATTGTGTCTTAATATGCTTACCCAAGAAATAATTTGCAAATCATAATCTCCATATCATAAATCTCCATACAAATTAAGTTCGGAAAATTAATAATAAAAATTAAATTTAAATAAAAAATGTGTACTAAAATATTCATATCAAATATTACAGTACGTTAAAAACCAATATTACAATTATATTTATCAACATCACAATTATATTTCGATCACATTGTCTTTTTTCTAGGTGTCAAAAAGATATGAAGATCATTCCCACTTTTTAAAATGGAATTATATGATTTTTTAACATATAATATATATCTATATAATTCCTGTGATTATTTTGTATAAAAGTATTAAGTTAGAAATATAAAAAACCAATAGTTTATATATACATATATAAACGTACATATATACGTATATATATATGTATATATATACACCGAAGCAAAATTTAATCTCAAAATAGTGATTTAAAAAAGTAAAGTTAAATATCTTAATTCGGACGAATATTAACAAATCCTTCAAAACCGACAATTATCATAGATAACTAATATTCGATATTTCCTTTTAGGTGTGCAAATATTTTATATGTTTTGTAAGATTTTCCTAATGAGCATCTATAGATGTGCAGGATGATGGATCTATCCGTTACAGCAATTACGTTCCATTTATTTCATATGTTGTATCCCAAGAGGTGATATATATTGTTCGAAAAGCTCCATGGTTACTTCATGCCAACAAATAATTCGTAAAGTATATCTTTGACTTTGATTCATAGCAATTTTAAACTAAAACTTATCGGGAACAATGTCCACGTCAGTTTCAGCATTTGCGAAAAAAACAAAGATAATGATTATAGAAAAGGAGCTTTATCAGGATTATATTAAAATTAAAGTGTTGAAATTATCGTCAATAGGACACAATTGATAATTGTTTTTTTTCGAAAATAAATTATATCATTATTTGCGCTTTGTCAAACGATACAACTTATGTTTAAACGAATTTTTTATTTGACTTTACCATACAAAGATAAAAACATTTGTCATATTAGGTGGAACATCCTGTATATATCTTTCACTACAATATCAATGCGAATAAGACTACACAGTAAAAAAGAAAATATTAATTTTAACATTTTTTACATGTCCCAGGAGATCCACTCTAAATTTTAAGTTAAAGTAACTCATTCGTCTTGTGTTATTTATTAATGAATTAATAATGTTAAATAATTGACACAATACTTTACATTTATATTCGTTATTTTGACTTTAAGGGTGATTTAAAACTAACATATAAAATAAGTAGAGTACATAGAAGAGTAGTTGCAGTAACTCGTAAGAAAATGTTAATAAAACATTTTTGTTCGTATAATGTGAATGAAAAAATTCTTAGATATTAAATTTCGACTTTGAGATATATAAATTAATTGAAACAATTGTGTTAAAAACACTCAAAATAATATTCCATTTTTAATTGACATACGCAATTGTTAAGTTCTTTATTAAAAGAATCTTTATTTTAGACCGCATATGTGAGAAACACAATCAATACTAGAAATTTAAAATGCCTATTACAGTCGAAGCTGGATCTTCATTGCTTTAAATAATTTAATCTTGAATTACTAATATACACTATATATGTACTTGCATATATACTATATTGTAGTTTTTTCAAACTGCGCGCCGAATTGTTTCTCCGGACTATAAACGCAATTAAAACTACTCTAGTAATCGCGAATTAAATTGACAAGCAATTTAATAATTTAATGCTATTATCAAGCATCATATTAGAAAGATGTTAATATGTTGAAACTGTTAATAAATTTATTGCGAAAAATATTACCTCGGCCGGGACTTGATCCCGGATCTCTTGTATTCCGTACGATCGTCCTAAGCCATTAGACCACCGAGGTCTTAAAAAATTATATGCAAAGACAGATAATAAATTACGCAAAAATTATATGCAAAGATAGATCATAGATTATGACAATTATATTCCATTTCTTTACGCATTGTATCCCAAGGGTGACATAAGGGTCACTCAAAGAGCTCCATGGTTACTTTATGACTAACAAATGATCCTTGAGAATAATGTCTTATAACAGCAATTGGCAGTCTTAATCTTAAACTCACAGAATGTGGAATATAGATTAGCGAAAAGTCCATATTTCTATATGCATTTCAAAGGAAGAAGAAACAAAAGGCAAGAAAATATATTTAGAAAAGGCACCTTCGCAATTGCTCACATTAAAACTGAGAAGTGCTCCTAATTAGATATTTATATAATTAATAATGAGACTAACAATTTTCAAGCAGTTTTTCCACGATACTTCGTTAACGTTCAGTCCGTCATCAAAATTCCAACGACAAATCGAAAGCAAAAAAGAAGAAAAGAGATGGTGGTTATTCTACGCCACAGATTTTCAATCTTTAATGTATCCTTGTTTCATATTTTGCCGCATTCTTGGAATATTCCCATACAAGATCAACGCTTCATCCTTCGAAACTTCTAAATCTTACAATATTCCATCAACTATAATTATGTGTTTCTTCTGCTTTAACTCATTGATAATAATATGTATGGGAAACATTTATGGATGGTTCCATGGCAATGTACACAGAAGTATTGCAATTAACTCTTTCTACATATTCAACAGTTTCATAATGATCATCACATTCGTCTTAAGTAGTCCACGAATACGTTTGGTTCAAATCATACTCCAGATCTCTTCACGACTACCTTCAGAATCATATCAACAGTCGTCTATGCTAATTCACGCCAAGGACATTTTCGGTTTTTCTTTCTTACTTATCCAATCAGCGTTGTGTTATGACCCGCACTTCTCTATTATGGCCTATTTATCGACAATCTACATGATTCTGCTAGTGTTTGTGATGGATATGCTATACATAAATTGCGTTTGTGTATTAAAGGCTTGTTTTAAAAAAATTAACGACGATCTGACAAATTTGCTCATAACAAACAATAAATCGCATTCAGTCATGTGGATCTATCATGAGCAGAGAAACCATCTTTTGTTGATGGAGCTTAACAACTTGAAGAAGCGACATTTGATGGTTAGTGATATAGTACAAAGGTTAAATATAATTTTCAGTCCGCAACTCCTCGCAACCATAGCCTTATCTTTCTTCGAAGTGACTTTTGAACTATACTTCAATATGGTAGAATGGAAAAACGGATTGTATATCAACCTGACTAAGCAGATTCATCACACTTACGTACTAACCTACATCACGTATTATTTTGTAAAAATAGCGTTGATAGCATGGGCCTGCGAAACTGGCAAAAGTCAAGCCATAAAAATTAGTACTACTGTTCATGATGTGCTTAACAACATTAACGACGAACAAATCAAACACGAGGTATTGAAAAATTACATCTATTTCTATTTATTTTTTTAAAATATTCCGTATAATGGTACACATTTTTTATATTTAATATATAATCACGCAGTTTATAATCACTTTTCTTAAATCTATTTTAGATATTTTTTATTACAGTTTACTTAATACTTTTTATTACAGTTGCACCTGTTTTCCTTGCAAATAATGCATTGCGATAACACATTCTCCGCAAAAGGTCTCTTACTGAACGCGACGCTTGTGAGAGCGGTAAGTGATCAACCATTTACTGTAATTGTTTGAATATATTTTTAAATTAAATTGTAGCATTTCATTTATGATTTTTCTTTTAGATGATGGGTACTACCACTACGTATTTTTTAATTTTAATACAGTTCTTGATCTTGTCGCATTCTTGTGATGAAAAGACTGCAAGCAATGTTACACAAACAATCTAAATCAGCACGCAAAGAATCTTATAAAATATATATAATCGTTAAGAGCAATTTATTTTTTAATATTAAAAATACTTTCTCTTTTTTATTACGACTCTCTAAGTAATCGATCAATGTTTCATATTTGTACAAATATATTTAAACGTATAACATAGTTATATTTGCTTTAAGATTCTTTTAAATTATCAAAGTCTTTGTATACAAAAATAGAATATATGTAACGTATTTTACAACTATGATTATTTATTTATTTTTATTGAAGAGATTTACAACGAATTTCTTATCTAATACATGAATTAATTCTTATTTATACTTCAATAGATTGTACCGAAAATTAAGACAAGTTGTTATGCGTATGCGTCAATATAGCTCGGGCCCGACACACAAAATATATGCGACACACAACTGACACAACACGAATAAAACGCGTCATTTGGTTCATGTTGGCGACCATGCGGCCTATCAATAAGAAACTTCGGCATCTATAATGATCTCGCATTCCCGCGGCTCGCAATCGCCAATCCCATCGCCAAGGCTCCGCGCCTTTTTGTTAGTCGCCATCAAAAGATCGGCGGTTCTAATGATCTTAGGAATACCGAGGAAAATAAAAATTGGATATTTTCGGAAAACGAACTGGAGATGGTGGGGAATCACAATGCCGAGTCAGTCTTCTCGCGATCACGAACCCAAGCGTTTAATCAGACTTGTTCTCGATCAGTGCGCATTCACCAACGTGGTTGGAACTTTACGCTGTTGTGCCTAATGCAGTCTGTAATGTGACTATTATAAAATAAACTTGTACTCTTTGATAAAAACGCAATTATGATTGTTCAGTGTAAAACACAAATACAGGACGAGAGTTCATGCTCTCGTGCTGATGTACAGATACCTTGTACCCTACACAAATTAACAATTATATCTAAAGTAAATTTAATATTTAATCAATATTTCGTCTATAGATACATTTATAATTCAAGTTTTATTCATTTTTATAAAAAGTTTTATTAAATTTTTATTGAAAGAAATGTATTATAATATGATCGCTTCTTTCTGTTATTGTGTTTAAAATGTAAAAATCTAGTTATGTTAAGATAATTTTTTGTCCATAGATCATATGCTGTATCTTTTGTTGAAAAATTAATAAAATTATTAGTTGGAATATTAAGATACAGTTAACTCTAATGTAGATATATGCTTATATTAATTCAAATTTAAATAATAGCGGTGCAATATAATTCAATTTTACTAACTTTGCATTCATTACATACAAGATATGTTCGGAAAGTATTCGATCTTACATTATAGAAAAGAAGGACTATTGTTTGGATAAATAATAATTACGTTCCCTTCAAAGTACTCTGTTTTGGAAGCCACAACTTTTTTTCAGCTCTGCTCTTATTTTCGGAAGCAATCTTTCTTGAGAGCGTTTAAAATATCCAACAAATGCCTCATTGCATTTGTCCTCCACATCATCAAATCTCTACCTTTTTAATTTTGGAAACAGCCAAAACCACACGGAGCTATATATCCGAACTATACAGAGACTGTCAGACTTCGGATATCCGTGTCTCGTCAAAAAATCGAAGATAATATGAGATCGATGGGCAGGTTATCGCGATGAAGCGGCAGTCAACGCTTTTTTACAAATGAGACCGTTCTTTTTTTCTCACTGCATGAACAAATTCGTTACTTGACGCATTCGGTCATTGTAGAGAACTTAGAAATGCTACATTCACGATTTTGGACACTTATACAACTGCGTACCATTGTTGACTGAAGGACTACCAGATTATGCCGCTTGACAGGATACTCACAAATAGAGATTCTCTTCATAAAGAATACTCGTATTCTACAGTGGTACATTCAGGTACAATTAGATATTGGCATAGGTTAGACTCTCCAAACAGACCTCATATGTATGTTTTTCGCTATAATGTTAATGTTTCGCAAAATGCAAACGACATTTAATAGATTCACAGCAATATACAATATATTACAACAATATTATATAGAAATCTAGATTAACTCATTACATCTTAATAGCCTCATCAAAAATAATTTGTAATTCATAAACACCTCGATTAATAAATCGATAAATTAAGTACATAAAGTAAACATTAATGACCACTTCATCATCAATGCATAATAATGATAAGTGCATATTGCTCCTAGAGCTCCATGGTTACTTCATGCTAACAAATGATTCGTGAGTCATACTTTATGATCCGTAGGAGCAATTTACAGTTTTGAACTTACATTCACAGCGAATAGTTCGTGACAGTTTCTTCATTCGTTCCGAAAAAAACAAAAGTAAAAACTACACTTAGGAAAAAAGTTTTCAAAAATAATCATAATCACGTTAGAATTGAAGTGCTCATTATTAGCAACGGAATATTTAAACAATTAATAATGTGACTAACAATTTTCAAGCAACTCATCCATGACACGTCGCCAATCATGTTCAGTTTATCATTATCGAAATTTCAAGAACGAGTCAAGTGCAAGATAGACGAAAGAAGATGGTGGTTATTTCACGCTACGGATTTTCAGTCCTTAATGAATCCTTGTTTCATCTTTTGCCGCATTCTCGGCATGCATCCGTATAAAATCAACGCTTTACTCTTCGAAATTTCTAAACCATATTACATTCTATCGACTATAATTGTATGTGTCGCCTGCTTTTGCACATTGATAATAATAATAAACATTTTTGAATGGTTCGATCTCGATCAAAACATACGCAAAATTATTGAACTTATTTTGTTCCACATAATCGGTAGTTTTATAACAATCATCACGTTCGTTTTAAACGGTCCACGAATTCGTTTATTTAAAGCTCTACTGCAGATCTCTTCAAGATTACCTTCAGAATCGTATCAGAAGCCGTCTATACTAATTCATGCTAAGGACATTTTTGGTTTCTTCTTTTTACTCGTATATTCATTGATGGATTATCACAACTGGCATTTCTCCGTCTCGGCCAAGCTATGTTTATTGTACTTCAATCTAGTAACTTTTCAGATAAATATGTTGTATATAAATTGCGTTTATGTATTAAAAGCTTGTTTCAAGAAGATCAACAACGATTTAGAAAATTTGTTCACGAAGTATGATCAACCACATTTAGTCAGATGGTTTTATCATAAGCAGAGAAACTCTTTTTTGCTAAAGGAGCTTAAAGCTTTGAAGAAACGACACTTGAAGGTTAGCGAGTCAGTGCAGATACTAAATATAATTTTCAGTCCGCAGCTTCTTGCAACCATAACCTACATCACCATCGCCATTATTTTCGAATTATACTTCAATATGATAGATTGGCGAAATGGATTGTCTATCAGTTGGATCAGACAGATTAATCACAGAGATGCAATGCCCTGCGTTGTATTTTTTGCTGTCAACATAGCATTGATAGCGTGGGTCTGCGAAGCTGGCAAAAATCAAGCCATAAAGATCAACACTATTGTTCATGACCTGCTTAATAACACTAATGACGAGCAAATCAAACATGAGGTATTGAAAATTTTAATTTCTATTTATTTTCTCCGTATTCCTGATACATTTTTTATATACAGAATAGGGCATTTAAAATATTACAATTATGTAACTACATATCATTTTTTAAAAACAACTATATATTTTCTTTACATCAATTCATTCATGTCATTACTCTGTGTATAAAGATATTAAGATGTTTATAAAAAAATTATAGTTTACGAGATATATTTTATGTTCTAAAATAAAGTATAATATATCTTGTAATGTAAATTGTCAATTTTTCAATATCCCTATTTTAATACTTTTATATGTAAAATAATTAGAGGAATCATATTATGTATAAAAGAAAGAAAAAAAATCATATGTCATTTAAAAAAGTAGGGGCGACCTCTAATATAACCTTTGAAAAATCGTTCTAAATTGATTTTATCATTATTTGTCCCCATGAAATCAACTTTTGTCTAAACATATTTTTGATTTGACGTCTACTTTCAGGCTTATAAGCTTGTAACAAATGTTTAACCCTATATAACTATACAGTTTATAATTACGTTTTCCAAATCAATTTGTAAATGTTTTTTTATTTAACATTACAGTTGCAGTTGTTTTCTTTGCAAATAATGCATTGTGACAACACATTCTCTACAAAATGTCTCTCTCTGGACGCGACACTTCTCACAATGGTGAGTAAGCAATCAATTAACACAATTGTTTGAATATCTTTAAATTAAGTTACAGCATTTACTTTACAATTTTGCTTTTATAGATAATGGGTACTATCACTACATATGTTTTAATTTTAATACAATTCTTGATCGCATCGCATTCTTGTGACGGAAAGATTGTAAACAATGTTACACAAACAATCTAAAATCAGGCATTCATAACAAGAAAGTTCATAAAACATATAATAGGTAAAAAATATTTTTTTAAATATCGAAATTCTCTCTTCTTTATAATTGCAATTCTTGTAACGCAATCGGTTAATATTGTAAGAGAAACACGCTCGCGATATATATATGTAGATGGATGGAAGGCCCCTAGCGGGGAGAGGGAAGAGTTGTTGGTTGGTTGCATGACGACGGAAGAAGTGAGTAGTGAGAAGAGATCAGAGAGTTGAAGGTGAATGATTGGAAATCCGGACATCTCCTTGATCAACATATATATATATATAATATATATATTGTAACTACCGCTACTAGTTTAACTAAATACATTTTATAAAGTACCGTTAAAGTGTAAATTGCCCAGAAACCCCTTACAATACTCTTTTTTTATATTTATAAAAATATATTTAAACATATAAAGTAGTTAGAGGAAAGTCATCGATATTGACATACCACTTTGTTTTTAAAATAATATTTCTTAAACAAAAGGTAAAAATACAACTTCAAAAACATGAGCATCTGACAAAATAGGCTCCAAAACTGACATAGTAGGCAACAATACCAACATTCCTATTCTAAAAATAAAGATATATCCTATTCTGTAAAGAAAACTAATTTATGAAACTATAAACATTTAAAATGACATAATACTATCAATAATGCAGTCACTATTATTTTAATTACACAATTTGCAAAAGAACACCGTAAGAATTTTCTCCTCAGATTCATAGAATTGATTTTTAGCTGATTTGGTATAGAATTAAGCTACAAATATATGAACGATGAGTTTGTCTTCTTTAATTAGCTAAACAGATCATGATTTTATTAATATTAATAAAGTGCAATAATTAGTTTCTGAGAAATAAGGGGGTGTCACTTTAGGAGACCTATGTGAGTATCGGCGACTTTCCTCTACCTTTCGCTACAATAACAATGTTTCACAAAACGCAAACAACTCTATTTAATAATAAAAGTATACAATATTATGCACAATAATACATATAATGTTATATGAAAATCGCAATTATCATATCGTAATAATTATATCACAATATTGCCGAATAATAATTTGTAGTTCATTCTGATATAAATCAAATTTTTAAAATAAATATCAATGAGTTACTTTTGATTAAACAAAAAACTGTATTGTTAATAATATTTTTATGTCAAATGTTATAATCCAATCATAATATGTTAAAAACAATATTATAATAAAAAATGTATTTATTAAATAACAAGAGAAAATTTAGTCTCAAAATGTTTAAAACGATGAATGTCCAATTTTGAAATCGGACAGTCGGTATTAATATATTTTTAAAAACTAATAATTTACCATTATGTATTCGACAGTTTCTGTTTTATGTGTACAGATATGATTATTCTAATGAATGATCTATATGTGTACAATTATGGCTCATATGACAGCAATCATATTTCATTACTTTATGCATTGTATCCCAAGGGTGATACGTGTCACAGCTCCATGGTTACTTCATGGCTAACAAACGATCTTTAAGTCGTGTCTTATAGCAGAAACTGGTAGTATTAATGTGACTAACTAGATGTGAATAGACCACAAAAGTCTATGTTTTTGCATACATTACGAGGAAAACGAAGTAAAAAACTACACTTAGAAAAGAAACCTTCGTAATTACTCACTTAAAACTAAAGTGCTCGTAATAAGATATTTATATAATTGATAATGGAACAAAGAAATTTCAAGCAATTCTTTCACGATACTTCATTGATATTCAGTCCATCGAAAGTCCAAGAACGGGTCAAAGACAGAAAAGAAGGAAGGAGGTGGCGACTATTCCATGCGACAGATTTTCAATCGTTGATGCATCCCTGTTTCATCTTCTGCCGCGTTCTGGGAATATTTCCGTACAGAATTAACGCTTCATCTTACGAAATTTCGAAACCATGTCAAATCTTGTGGACTGTCATCATGAGTGTCGTTTGTTTTTGCACACTGATGACAGTATATGTGATCAACCATTCTAGATGGTTTGAGACCACAAGCTTACGCAGGAGTATTGACCTTTACGCCTTCTATATATTTAGCGGTTTCATAGCGGTTGCTACATACGTTTGGGATGGTCCACGAATGCGTTTATTTCAAACCATACTGAAGATATCTTCCGAATTGCCTTTGGAGACATATCAGAAACAGTCTATGCTGATCCACGCCAAGGATATAATCGGTTTTCTTTTCTTACTCCTGCAAGGATCGACTTCTTTGTTCTACTTGGAATATCCTATTTTGCTCAAGATGTTTTCAATCTACATCACTATGTTAGTGCTTCAGATAGATATGCTATACATGAATTGCATTTGTGTGTTAAAGGCTTGCTTTGAGAAAATCAATGACAGTTTGGCAAATCTGCTCGTAATGAACAATAAATCACGTTTATTCAGATGCAACTACCAGGAACAGAAAAATTTTTTCTTGCTGATGGAGCTAAAAGCTCTAGAGAAACAACATCTGTTAGTCAACGATGCAGTACAGATGCTAAATATGATATTCAGTCTGCATCTCGTTGGTACTATAATTACAACCTTCGTTAGAATCACTTTCTTCTTGTATTATTGCATAATATTATGGCAAGATATTTTAAACTTCCAATTAACCAGTTCACAAAAACTGTTTTGTTACATATTTTTCATCGCATCCATTATGTTTTATTTAATGAAAACAGCACTGATAGTATGGGCATGCGAGACCGGCAAAGATCAAGCCATTAAGATTGGCATTACTATTCACGATGTACTTAACAGCACTAATGACAAGCAAATTAAAGATGAGGTAATCAAAATTATAATTTAATTCGTATATTGTTCAAAAAATGTTTCATGTGTTTTAATGCTTCTTTGTTTTTTGACATAATTAATTACTTTTCCATCTGACGTTACAGTTGCAGCTGTTTTCTTTGCAAATATTGCATACCACTCGTCGAAATACATTCTGTGCGAAGGGTCTCACTGTGGGTGCGCCGCTTTTTGCTGCTGTGAGTGATCCATCATTTGCCTTTATTAATTTAATATATATTGCATGTGATTTTGCTTTTAGTTAATAGGTAACATCATCTCATATCTGTTAATCTTGATACAATTCACGAAAATATCAATTTTTTGCAAATAAATAGTTTACAGTTCACAATATTATACAGATAATATAATTGAATAAAGATATAAAGATATGAAAGACGAAGAAAAGAATATATTTCTAAATATTAAAAATATTTTCTATTTATAAAACATAATTGTTCGATATTCTTTACTTGTATAACTATAGTTACACATATAAATATATGTATAGAAGCATTTAAAAATGTTACACTAAATGTATGTTAACCATAAACAGAAAATAAATAAATGTATATTAAATGAGAGAGGTACTTATTATTAATCAAAAATAAATAATGATTGATTTGCGATAGTTTTGGAACTTTTGTATCATACATAATAGAAAGAAGGGGAAGAGAATCTTTTTTCGTTGAATAATGAAATATTTGCGTAATACGAGATAAGATTGTTCCGCGTTACGAGTGTCGATGATACGATATCGGGCGAATGAATTTCATTACAGCCGGCGGACGCGTTTAATGCCGAGCAGCTCCGGCGGTGTAAAGGCCTGGATAGGCCAACTCAGCACCCTGATATTTCTTTGAATAAAGATCTGTGTCGTGCGATAGGCTCGTATAAAAGACGGGGGTGAAGACGGAAGGAACTCCACCTCTATCTTGCCCTTTCATTCGCCCGCTCCTCGTCGCCGTAGTTCTAATGTCACTTAGCATATCACCACTCTCCGTTCCTTTAGACTCAAATTTTCACGCTCTGCCTCTTATAGATAACTCCCGTAGCTCTAAACTCGTTAGTAAACCAAACTAATACTCATTGCAAGTGACACCAAGTGTGAAATGAAGTAACACAATCTTGAAACGGAACGTACGCCATCATAATTAAGGTACAAATGTCGAAGTAGATTTCGTTAAACTTTACCTTTACCTGATTTAATATGATTCCATAGCTAAATTTCTATCAGATAATTAAACTAAAATTAAACATGTAGAATGTATATATAATACGATGACATTGTGATGACATGATAATTATTTTAATTTTCATCATAACTATAATATAATATATCTCTTCTCTCTGTTAACAATCACAAGAATCGTTTCATTTCCTTAATTAGCTAAATCTTGCTAAATTACAATTATTACTATTATAATTATTACTTTCTCTTTTCCAATCTCTCATTATTCGCTACTGTTATACCGTTATTATTTAATTAATTCCCACGTTGCTCGAAAGGGATTAATCCTCTGGGACGCAATAAACGTTTTATGTCTACGTCTACGTCCGATCGGGCGAGGTCGTGTCAGGACCGCGGAATAGCACTGAACTCGACACGAGTAACTCGGGAATAATCCGTCACCATAAAAACCGCGCCTGCTACAAGTCCCAATGGCGGGACGACGAGGACATTAAATCCCGACAACATGAGGCTTGAACCGGATGGACAACACGGTAGAGAAAGTGAACCACGCGAAGGTATGTACACTGGGAGCGGAACGAAAACCCACAGCAAACTCAATTTTCTGTGTTAACTTGGTCGACGAGGAGGTTGCAACGAGAGTCCAGTCTGATCGCTTAATATTCATGGAGGCATGGCAAGCAGGTTTCAATGTTTCTCTTCGGTCGGCCAAGTGGGTTTATGGTTGTTTCTACTTTGAAACGACCCGTCGTAGATCGGGCGAGTCATACGGCGCGTTTCACCCGCAAGAATTCGCACCCCGACAGCCTTTACTTATGTCGGCACTCGCGAGACTGCGACTGGAGAAGATTTGTTGGGTAAGTCACGGTCGCGTTGAATAAAAAAGCAAAAGAAGTTTCTTACTACTTTCCATTTCAAAGAACTCATCCTGAACACGTAATCAATCGAATGTTTCAGATTAAATGGGCAATTTATAGCAATAGGAGATGGCTTTCAGCTTTGCCGGAATGTATCATCGTTGATTGCTGAAAATGCAGGCTAATGACGACTGTTGCAGTAATTCGATTAATCAGCATTGCCAAACAATACGAGATATGACTGGCACAGATTTTGCCAATAACGGCCGATTCTGATTGACTGTCAAAATACCATTTGAAACTATAATACTAACTAAGAGTCGATTCAATTGCGTTTGGTATCGTATTGATGAGATACTTCGCCTGCAATTTGGGACATTCTGTCATGATAACAATGAAGATTCCTGCAAAAATAAAAATAGGAACAAGATCATTGAAAATTATTATTAACTCTTTGAAGCTGAAGCCAAAAGTAGCATAAATTCTTATGCTGCGTCTTCTATGTATAAGACTCATTTAATTTATATGAGTTAAAAAGCACTGATTAATTTTAAGAAACTAAAATAACATAACTCGTGTAAAAGAAGAATGAATATTAAGTATTTGCAGACGTAAGATAAAGAAAATTGAATTGTTTAACATTTTAGACAAAGAGATTTATAATTAAGTGATCTAATAGACCCGCCATCAGCTCTCGAGGTTTCAAATTATAGCTCAAATGTTTAATTAAATTATTTTAAAATTGTCAAAATTTAATTTGACTTCTTCATTAATCTTACAATTAGTTAAGTAATTTATTATCTATTGTGCGATAATTGCATGTTATAGTGCTTTCGAAATTTCTTACACATGTAGAAATTTTATAATAAAAAAAGGAGGAAAAAAGGAAGATTCGTAATACGAATCGCCACTTGAAGAGGGACGATTATTGCAAGTCGTTTAGTTAAGATATACGATATATAATAAGCGCATTATGTTTGTGACTAAAAATCGCCAGATGCGGATTTTGCACGCCTGAATGTCAAGCGGTGTAGAGCGAATTCTTTTATGTGACTTCCCGTATAAACCGGCATTTTCCATGTAAAATAGGGACACGATTATATAGTCGCGTATCACACACGTGAAGATTTGTTGTGCGCTTTGAGAGATGCCGAATTCGCATAACGCGACCGAAAGCGAAAATACAGCTGTTATTAACCCTTAGTACATGACGATTTTCTGGTTCTTTATTACACACTATAGGTCACTTGCATTTTGGATTAATTTTCATTACTTTAACAAATATACAAAAATTATATTTGATCCTTTAGATATACTATAACATCTATAGAAAATACTTATAAGGATTTGTGAATTTAAAGAATTACATATAAATGTTATAACTAATTACTCCTAGTTTCGAAGAAAAAAAATGCGTAGGACATTGAAATAATCCAATCGTACGTACTAAGAGTTAACTGAAAGATAAAAACCAGTATCGAGAAAAAAGATGGTAACGGTGAAACGAAATCGCGAGCACGATTATTATTACCATCCACGGATGACTTCTATATCGCGACTGAATAATTTTAACGATTAACTGTATTTTTAACTCTCTGCTCATTGTTATCGTTAAAATTTTCCAATATTCATAAACATGTTCGATTTGAGAAAAAAACATTACATCTTTTTAGATTTAAATATAATTCAGTTTTGCGTTTTATTATTAAACACTGCACAACGTGCACTATTCGTAATAAAATTAAATTACTAAACATAGTAACGATTAAAGGAGAAAACGTTGGCAGGTTAAATATTGCAGCTTTGTAGTAATTGGATTCACTTAGATGAAATAAAGTATATTTCAAAGTAAAGTGGCAATTATCAGTTTTTTGGTGAGTCTAAACTATATTTAAAAAAACTTTTTTTCTCATTACCTCAATTCTGGATACTGAAGTGCAAATAATTATTACATCAAAATGAGTTTGGTATCGGTAATTCTGTAATCTTTTGTTAATTAATGAGAATTTTTTATTTATACGACAATTTTCTATTTGTACATACATGTATGCATCCATGTTTAAATAACAAATTTTTATTCATGAAGAAGCAATTGCAGAATTATCGTTTCTAAACTCTTTGATATACCATTCTATTTACATTTTAATTACACACGATTCAGGCAATTAGAAATATAAGCGCTGTTAAAAGTAAAGTTCAAATTAAAATTGAAGAGGAAAATAACCAGCATTACACACTTATACAGATTCCTCATTCTACTTTAATCAATATCAATTTGAGTTCTTCACCGAGATCTATTGGACAGATATCACATAGGATTTGACGTATTAATTGCCACGTTACAGAATAACAATTACACGCGCGAAGATTGTTCCCGATGTAACGTCAAGCTCGAACAATTTATTTCCTGGTTTTCTCAACGGGGTCAACGAGAGTCATAAATCAAAGAGTGAACGATAGTATGAATGCTTCCAATCAATTAAGCGCATTCGTGAAAGAAAGGTTTCGTTGATCGAATCGTACTTGTTATTCTCTGCATAACGAACGAAGCGGTTCCTTTGAAATCTCAAGGCAATCTACGCATGCATTTCGACATTGTCGTTGAAAAAATGTCAAACGAAAATGCGCCTCCATAATTTCGAATTCATATTTTTTCGTGCAAAAGGATCTAATTTTACTTTTAAATGGGCACTAATTGAAGTGAACTTCCAATGTAAATGTAAATCCTATTGTTTTACAACGGAAAGAAGTAAAAGATATATATTTCAATTCCTTTATATAAGAAATCGAGATATTTTATATAAACTGTTTATCTATTAAGACATGCTGTTTGAACTCAATATAAAAAATTATAATCCTTAATAAGTACTTCAGAAATAGTTAATTAATATTTATATCTCGTGAAAACTAATGTTTCCACTGAAAAAAATATTAAATTTTACAAAACATCCGATTAAGTAATTTTAAGTAAATATTTACTAAATATAAACGTGTATTAATTTATAAGAACCATTTTATGTACAAGATCCGATTGATTTAACTACATTCTTTATTGAGTACATATTTATTTAAAATTACTTAATCAGATATTTTGTAAAATTTAATATTTTTTTTAGTGGAAAGATTAGTTTTCACGAGAGATAAATATTAATTAACTATTTCTGAAGTACTTATTAAGGATTATAACTTTTTAGTAATTAAATTTATTTAGTATAAG